GTTAGTAATGCAGTCTACATTTTATTCATAACTGGTTTGAAGCGAACAAAATTATATTCATCAAACGAGTTAGCTATAACCATTAAGAATAAAATGTAGACTGCATTACTAACGATCGTTCTCTTTCTTTATCCAATGGTCTTAACGTCTCCAAGGCGGGATCCCCAAATTTTTGCTCATACTCGGACAATATTTTATCAAGTTCTTCTTGTCGAGATTCAATGTTATTTAATCCAGCTTCAATTTCAGCCTGGATTGAATCGGCTTTATTAATTTGTTCTCCGAGTCTGGTGACCTATAAAGTATAGCGAAGTATTTTAAACATCGTGGATCCACTTACGTATATTACTACACATAAATAACTACCCTGCCATTATTCTCGATAATTTTTTGATCCCATTGATTGACCTCCTTAATTTGTTCGTGAAACTTTTTGGAACAATTATCCAAATCTTTAGTCCATTTATTAATTATACCCTCAATGTTGTTATTTTTTAACCAAGATGGTATTTGGTCCGCACCGCTAGTCGGAACCGATGTTGCAGTAGTTGATGGTGTAGTTGTACTTGTTGTTCTCAATGAAGATGTACCTATACCTCCAATCAATGGTGGTGCACTTGTGGTAATTGGTTTGGTAGTTGAGAAAGACGGGGTCAGGGAAGATTTAATTCCACCTCCACCTATTGGAGACGTGATGGTTGCTGTGAATGTAGGCATTGTTGTTTTTGGAATGTTGACACTGGAATTGGTTGTTACTAAATTTGCGAAAATCATTCATTAGGTGATTCTTCCGAAGCAATTATATTACGCGATCTATAATTACCGGAGGCTGTCGCAAACAATGATGAACTGCTTGTTGTTGATCCTGTATTGTCTTTCTTGCTAGTATCAAAAAGCGGTTTAGCACCACTTGATCCAAATAAGTTACCAGATATGTTCAACGAAGACGACTGAGTAGACTGTGACGTTGATCCAATTCTGGCAAAGATATTTGAGCCAGATGTTGAATTCAAAGTATGACCCGCTCCACTAGAAGACGCACCTAATGATGCAAGTGTAGTGGTGTTTTTATTTGACGCTTCACTACCTACACTAGTATCAGTTTTAAAACCAGTAAACATGGTAAACGCGGGCGCGCTCTGTGCTTGAGTTGTTTTTGACGTCGTTCCCAGGTTAAAGGGGTTGCTGCCGAATTTTGGCGCAGAGGTAGCGGAGGTATTGAAGCCAATAGTATTATCTTTTTTTCCACCATCCGAACTAGGTTGGGGAAACGTCGCGAAAGGTGACGTTGAAGCAGATGTTGATAACAAAGAGCCACCGAATCCTCCAAATGTAGCTTGTGATTTTGTGTTGCTCAATGCAGAGAAGCCGGTTGATGTATTCGAACTTTGATTCTTTCCGGGATCGGCATTCTGGGTTTTTCCAAACCAACCAAAACCGGTAGAAGATACGGAAAACGTTGGTGGGTTGCTTGAAAGAGAAGTTGTAGAATTCCCGACAGATGTATTGCTGCTGAAGCCTGATCCTTGTGAAGTACCAAAGCCGGTAAATGGTGCTATAGGTTGTTGAAGACTAAAACCTGTTGTAGTCGTCGAACTTTGTGTTGACGCGGCAAAGGGTGGTTTCGACGTTTGGTTAAGTAAACTACCAAATGGTGAAGGGTTCGAAGCACTGTTGTTATTTGTATTATTGCTACCTCCAAAACCGAAGCCAGCTGCTTTAAAATATTTTTATTAGTGACATGTTAGTCCTTTGTTTATGAAAGAAGAATCGCGTCTACCTACACATTTTCGTGAAGATTTTGATTTTACAAAACTAAAATAATCAAATTCGGTTTACCATCCTGTATATGACAACAATAATTTAACTGCGCCACTGTATGCAAAAAATGATGTTACTTTATTCTAGGGCGGCCGCATATATGTGTTGGCCAATCAAAAATATGCGTGCGGTAATTTATATGCCCTTTATGACTTTAAAAAAAAAAAATGCGAAAAAAGGAGAAAGTTTATTATGTTTATTAATCCTTATTAAAATATAAAAAATTTAAAATGGAAATTGATTCCTCTGATAATGAATAACATTTATCACCAAGAATATTTCTATAAGATGAAAAACATAAACTCTCAATACTGGAAGCCAAATATATATTAATGTTATTTTAAACAAATTTGGAAGATGATTTTTTTTATCATTCCAGTATTTATCTAAATCTAATTCATTATATTTGTCAAAATTTCATTAATTTAAATAAAATAATACTACTAGGATTTTTAAATTTTTTGATTTCACTATATTTTTGAATATTATATCTTGCTTGACTAACTTATATAAATTGAGGAATAAAACATTAAATAGTTTTAAATAATAGTAATGCAGAATGTTGATCAATATATTTTTTAAACTTATTTAATGTTGATTGAAAAGCTCTATAAAATATTTCTTAAAATATTGAGAAATTTATATTTAAAAAATTAAATTTGATATTCATTTCACTATTAATTGAAAATTGAATTGTATCTGATTGTAAATGAAATTCAAATAAATGTAATTTTGTAAACATAAGATATATTATAAATTTGTTATGAATTTTTAAAAAATCAAACTATTATAAAGACTATAATAATAAAAAAATAAGTATTATTATTATTATTATTATTATTATTTAAAACGACAACTCAGCCTTGTTTTATTAAAGTTTCAAGTTAGGGCAAATGAATGCAGATACAAGAAATAATTACTAATAAAACACTACTAGAATTATCTGTTAGTAATTAAAATTTTATACAACTACTATCACTTAGATTCTATAAGCTGGTTACTCTTTAAGGGCTTTATCAGTTGAAGGCGTACTGCCTGTTCCTCAATTGCTTTCAATATCTTTATGTTGTGAAATTCTAATCACTTCAATCCACGGAATAGTTTGTTGTCAAGAAAAATTATTCAAATCAATCAAATTTACATACCAAGAAAGAAAATTCATCGATCCTCCTAGATTCCCCCTAATTAACATGTTCAAGTAAAATATATTATCCTTCCAAAAAAGTTGACCCCTTTATGTCTTGCCTGTTATACAACCTATCTTTGCTACAAGAACTTTATTTCAAATCTTTACCTATTTGATAGAGTTGAAGAAAAAATTTATTCAGTGATTAGGAGTAAATGACTACAACCATAAAATCTAGTTGTAATATCTTATGACCTTTACTATAATCGAACAAACTCTTTTTTGAAGGAATCAATAATGTAAATAGAGAAGTATCATATATCCACCTGCCCCAGTACAATGATTTATAATGAACCCCAGGTTCTTATATAACTGAAAAAATGTATTCAGACACATAACGTGACCAATAGGAGCTTGTTTACTTCTTTTATTAATGTGAGCTCTGTCTGTCCAATCACAGTGTGAGAAACTTTGTGCTACTCAAAATTCAGGGTCAAACTGAGGTAGACAAAATTCTTCAGAAAAAACTAAGAACGAGTATTATGAGAAGACAACAAGTGACAAGAGAGTGGAAAAGTTGTCTCTCATTACATAGATACTTCTGTAGTGTTTCTCTACAATGTGAAATAGTGACATATTAGTTTTTCTTCTTTTTAGAACTTTCTTGCTATGGATAGGAAAGATGCTTCTTGATCTTTAAGGTTACTAGAGTCAAGTTTTTGTTTGAAGAAGATAGTAAGCAAAAGGAGTGAAAGTAGTTAATGGCTCTTGAAGTTATTTCAAGTTGGTTTAAGGAAAGTGATAAGACTTTATTAGCCAGAAGTATAAAAACTTTTTGCAAACATCTTTTTTGTGTGTGGTTAGAGAATAAACAAAAAGAGTTTTTTTTTTTTTGAAGGGGTAAGTATACTTATATTTAGATAGGAATGGATTTAATTAATAATATATAGAAGACTTTCAAGTCGATTATGCAAATACCAATATACTACCTGAACCTTCCTGGTTACTTTCTCTACACAAGCCTTAAAACTGTAAAATCTTCCTTGCTAGCCTCCATCTTATCTCTATAAAGACTTAGTAAAAGTTTTTTTCCCAGACCTCTCTATAGGAAAAATTGGAACAAGACAGGCATGTACCAAGAAACAGGACTAGTACACTACATATACTGTCTAATTTTCAATTTTATTTTTGTTATTTTCATTTTATAACACCAGTATACTCTAGGGATACTGGTTTTTTTTGGTAAAAGAAAGAGCAATAGACCTTGAAATAGCTTTAGTAATAACTTTAGCTTATTATTATCTTTATTGATCCCAAATATACATCTTTGTATTTGCACTTTACACTATGTACTTTTGTAATTTGAAAATCAATAAAGTTAGGCATAAGCCTGTTATCAAAAAAAAAAAAATAAGTTCTATTATAACCATTGAATATAAGTGGCCAACTAATAAAAAAAAAAAGATATCAAGGTCAAAATGATAACATTCAGCAAAAACAATATGAACCTTAGATTGTCCAGTAACAGAAAACAATAAGAAACTATTAGAAAATTCTAGAAGTCTATTAGAGAACTAAAATAAAAGACAGTATAATGAACCAGAGCTTAAGGATATGCAAGATCCATTAAAGTCCATATTAACAAATCTAGAAAAACTGAATGGAAAAATTAGTCAAGCTTGAAGGCAAAACAAGATTTAGCTGGCAAAAGAGAAAAGGACTAGGATAAATAAACTGCTCCTAAAATATCATACCAGTTAATTAAAATAGATATGGGGAGAAAAAGCCTAGTTCTCTTTCAATTAAGACTTATAACAAGGGCAAAATACAAACCATAGATTCAGATGAAGCTGTAGAACAAGGTGGTGACCTAAACATAAATAAATTCTTATATAATGAGTATATTACTTTTTTGAGAAGCCAAAACAAAGATGAGCAAATAAAGAATACAAAAGGAATCGAAAAAGATGTCTAGAAAAGAGTGTTAAAAATAGGCATACATAATATCAGAGGTATAATAGATAAGACAAATTAACAAAGTCTTATTGAAGAAATATAGGAACAAGGAATAGATATAATAGGAATATATGAAACTAAAGAGGTCCAAACCAATACAAAATAGGCTTTTGAAAATCAAAAAACATACAAGTATTTTTATAACCCCAATAGAAACATACCATTTGGAGCAGAGATCAATCTCCTAATCAGAAAAGATTTGGAAAAGAAAATAGTATCGATAAAAGAGAAAAAAGGTTATATAATAATAACTAACTTCCTCATAAAAAAAAAAAAGTATGTATCATATAGATTTGCATTCCTTTAGATAAACAATAATACAAAAAGTACAAGAAAAGTTAATTTGTCTTATCAAAAGAAAGTAGAGACAAAGCTTTCATATAATAGTGATAAGTGATTTCAATACTACTTATAATTCATCAGAAGATAGAACAACATTCTCCAAGTCTATGTTTAGATCTTTTTGATATTCTAAAATTCTATTATTCAACTCTCTAAACGAATGGAACTTTATAGATACCTAGGTAGTATGAAAAGATAAAAATAAAACCCCAATATAGTGAAATGTCATAAGCAATAGTAGAATTGATTATACAGAGCTTAACAAGATATTCGTTATTGCAATTTAATAATCAAAAAATATAAGAAGTCACAAAAAGTGATTACACTATACTGATAATTATCTTTCAAGATGAAAATCTTTTTACAAAAAGCCCAACTATCAAACCAAAAATATATAACAAAAGAAAAATTGATATAAAAGAATCTTTATTAGAATAGTAGCAAGTCTATTAAGAAAACTTGAACTATAAGTTCAAGATGAAACTAGAACTTCTTCATTTAAAAGAACCTGAAATAAATAAAGAAGAAAAACTTATAAACAAAATTTGAAAAGTTTTTGAAGAACAGATGTATAAAATAGCTTTCAACAAGCTTGAAACCAAAAAGATTATATCATATAAAAAAAAAAAATAATAATAATAATAGACACAACTTTGAATTTGTTAGACCTGTGGATTTATAGCACAGTGGTAGTGCTCTCAGGTCACAATCACAAGGTCCAAAGTTTAATACCATATAAGGGCCAAGTGAAAAATATCACACACAATGAAATTATTTCATTGAATAACAGGGTAATACTTGTCGTTAG